AGATGATGATAAATAACATAGTTATGTATAATATATTACATTTCTGACTGTATATCCCTGTAATTATTACACACTGTAGCTTTAAAAGAAAACCTCTATTTTGTGGCACAGGTCGGATTTTTCCAACCTGTATCCTCCGGCACCCGTAGAGTTCATAACCTAGATCTGACCCGTTCCCTGCAATTATTTAGTGCCGCGTTTAGTCGCTGTGGCGTAAATATCGCTAAGCAGAGACAGATGTTGCTTATGGCCCCACGACCTCTTAGGGGCCCCATCACTGACACCTGGTGGGCCCCCAATGCAAATCTAGACTAGGACGTCTCTTTGCAGATGTAATGGTGTTTAAAAAATGCGTTGTCCCGGTGTGACGTCACTGGTTTTGTGGCAGCTAATGAAGCATTTGGTTGCTAAGGCGGTTACTATGGAGCGTTCTCAGATATCAAAAAACGTTTTTGCTATTTATTAATAATAACCGTTTATTAACTTCTCACAGCTTCTTAGAATTTACTGACTTAGAGCCACATTTCATTTTATTTCATTCGTTTTGCTGTTTTTCTCTTCATTGGGGAACCAGACACTGACTGTGGATTGAGCCACTTTTCAAACATTCATCGTTAAAAGATTTTCAGTTAAACATTAAACTGAAGGTATTTTGTAAAAATGAGGCCACTGGACTTTGACTAGGCCATGAAAACATCTGCTGTAGATCTGCTGCTGCCTTTCAGATCACTGATGACCATCAACCCCCCGAACTTACTGGTGATGACGCCTCCAGAGAGGGAGGCCAGGAAGCCCACGCTGACCAGCACCATGGTGATGAGACGCCCCCACTTATGGCGCTGCAGCATGACCAACATCAACAGGCCGCCGACGCCGTGGATGAAGAGCGAGGAGAAGAGACACCACAGGAAAACCCAGTACCACATCTCTAAGGGGGGGGGGGAGAGGACGCCATTAATACCTTAGAGCCGCAGGTCTGAGAACCATCAGCACGCCAGAGGAGTGGAGGAGGAGGGAGGGAGGGAGGAAGGAAGGAAGGAAGGAAGGAAGGAAGGAAGGAAGGAAGGAAGACAAAGGCGTGAAGGA